ATGGACCCAAACATAGACTTAATCTTCAAAGAAGCCAGACTGAATTAAGATATCACTTGTAGTATCACCGCAGATAGATGTGGATGGAATCACAAACGTTAATCAGGAGCCTCAAGCTAATCAAAAATAATAATAATGTTTGTGCTACGACACACAATCAAACTGCCTGATCAAAACGCATCAAGTAACAATCCTGTGAAGAAAATTATATCACCTAAAAGTTGATCTTTCATTGCTCAAGAGACTATTAGTTATGCCTTATTTAAATATCAGCTTTGTCTCAGGTGTTTTTATGTCTCCTCTAAAGGAGTCAAAAATCATAAATCATTGACACAGAAATAGTATTGAGCTAATTAATTAATATGGATGGCAAAGACTAGATAATTTGGTTCTAGGATAATTTGTTGAGAAATTTTCATGGTCACATTGAGATCTTTAACATTTGGTTTCCGACATTGTTATCTGCAATCAAAAATCATTGTTTATTGTTCAAAGAACTTAAAGAGAGACACTTTTTTTAAGGAGAAACATTGAGAAGCAGGGGAGACTTAAAAAAAGTCTCAATTTGCTCGGCATTCAATCCCATTGCTGTCTAGCTGAAAAACCTAGATATTAATAATGATTTTTATTTCCCTACACTGACAAGCCGCGTATTTTGATCTATCACTTTTTCTGTAATTTACAATTCCAGATGTCCAAAGTCACTCCATAAAACGGCATAAAGCTCGAAAATGCACAAAAAGATGACTTCAGATGGCTTTGAGAGCAGTTTCTGCTTTCATGCAGGGATTTGTGGATTTTTATTTCCACCTACAGAGCATGTATGTGGTCAGTTGGTAAAATGACATACGAATGTGTCCTTGGACAATACGTGAAAAGACTGATGTAATCGCAGCCTTTCTTAACTTTGAATTCTGCCGAACACATTTCTGTAAATGGCGGCGAAATGTCACCAAACGAGTCCCCTGCCACCTCAAATGTCAAATGAATTCTAAACGCGCAGCCATTGCCCTTGTGCGGGCTAAGTAAAGTAAAGTTAGCTCTCACTTAAAGAAAAATCTGCCTCAGTCCATAGAAACCTGTTCAGATATAAAGCCATTAAATTCAGTTTAGAGTGATTTATTCAGCTGTGCAATGAGGCATGAACGAGTGAGAGAACCGGACCAGCATCAACCGTAATGTATACGGGGGGTGGACTGCTTTCAGCCATGTGGACAGCTAATGATGGGATGACCGAGAAGTTTGGGAATGTTCGAAAATAGCAAAAGAAAGGCAGGTATTTGCAATACATCATGCATATTTATATTTTAATTTTTTTACCTGAAGCACTGATGATTTGCTCACAGGCAAGGAAAGCAACTTCATGTTGACTTTGACATGTATGCTCAAAAATTTTTTTAAAATATGCGCACTCATGTGACAAAATGATTCCACCCCGTTACGATCCAAATCATCCCTGCTGGCTTTTTTCCCTCTCCTTCTTATCCTGATAAGTGAAAACATAATTTAATTGATGGCCACATACTGTTAAATTCAAACCGCAAAAGAACACTGCTTTACAGCTACTACTCTGACAGGAAGTTTGCAAACCCAGACAGCCGAGGAGGAGGAGGTTGATGAAGGCTTGCCAGATGTGCATCCTGCTGCTGAAACGACAGGTCTGATCTGCCTTTAATTGCTCGCCATTATACCCCCCGAGGAACGCAATTAACACATGAGGAATCTTTTGATAAATCGGAATTGAGCTCGTGTCCACTGATGGGATATTTTATTTGAATCCAATGTGTGGCTTTATCTTTAAACATGGCTCCAAAATACACACGATTAAAATTATCTAGATTTCTGCAAGAACGGCTCCTTAAATCTGATCTGATATTATCAGCTATGTCACAATAAAGGCAGTTTAATTTTTACTAAAAAGCTACATTTAATACTTGGCGTTAGAAATGGTAATTGGGATGCAAGTTTTAGCAAACCTCACTGACAAGGTCATTGGAGGAAACTATAATGACTTGTTGAAAACAATAATTGGGGCGAGTTGTTCCAATCATCGTACAAGTGCATTTGACCTTCGCTGCCGCATGAGCAGTGTGTTTACCAGCCCTTCACAAACAGATTTCTGTTCAAGTGCAGTATGAAGATTTCAGAAGACCTCAGAAGGGCTGTTGAAGCTCTTAAGACTGCAAAGGGTTACCAAAGGATTTCGCTTCACAATCAGAATGAAATCCAGCACCGCTGCTTCTCTCCGCTGGAGTGGTTGTCCTACAAAAATATGTCCAAGGGCACACTGCAGAATCCTCAAACAATCGACGGAGAACTCTAGGGTGATGGCTAAAGATCTGCAGGGATCACTCGCACTTGATAATGGCTGTGTTCCTGAGCTGACTAGAGGAAAAACACTGAAGATTGCTGTTCATGGGAGGTTCATCGACAATGAAAAATGCAATGAAATGAAAAGGGGGAAAAAAACTGCTGCACATACTGTATCAGGTTTGAATAAGGGTGAATTAAAAGCATGTACACATTACATGTACATTCCTAGAAAATACAAATACATAAATTTTTGTGTGAGCAAAAAGGTTTTTAGAACCATTAAGCTTTGTGACATTTTTATGACAACTAAGCACAAATTACTGTTAAGTGTATTTTTTAAAATAACTATTATTAAATGTTAACAACAACAACAACAACAATAAGTACATTATTCTTTTAAATAGTCAATAAATATATTCATTATTATTGCAAAATGCAATAACAATTATAAGTTACAATAAAATAAGCTTTAATTTATTATGTTAATTATAATTTCTTATTTCTTATGATTTTGGAGTAAAATATATACTTGACAGGTTTTGTGAGATTCCCAAACCCCAAATCATCCGGACTTTGAATAAAACAGTTTTTTGGAAAATGCAATACTAAGTCTTCATTAATACCAGTTTCCAAATTCACAATTTGGAAACAAAGATTTCCAAATTCTGACATAAAGTTGCATGACAAACTTGAATGTTCAAGCAAAACTTTTAGGAAATACACGCAAACTAAAACTACATGAGAGAGGACAGGACTAAAAACTCAGATCTGACCACTTACATATAACATTCAGTTTATTGTTCCCAATAAAAAGGGAAACACACGCGATCACAAGCTTTTCCATCATTGACCTTGACTGTTTAAACCGAAGCCTTCAGAAAACACCTGAACTACATGAACTCTCTGCAGTGCAACATCACTGCACTGAACCGGGTGCATACATCTATAAGTGCATTTTAAAACATAAATTGTGTTTATGCATAGATATACTGGTGTCTAAAAAGCATTTTCATATATTAAGTTTTTGCAGGCATGATTGACATCTCAAATATGTATAAAACAAGCATTTCTAGCATTACAAAGCAGCCCTGGATATTCAAATACCATGTGACACCAGCGTTTAGCATAAATGCCCAAACCCACACACATGACATTCAACGTGTTTCTTGGCGAGGCAGATAGAGCGAGCAAGAGAGCGTTGGGAGACAAAACGAGAGAGTAATTAAAGGGACGTGTCGCCCATGTAAAATGCCAACAGGGTCAAAACCCTTTAAAAGGGACTGGCGAAAAGAGAGGACACCTAAAGAGAAGTGTAAGGAGATAAGGCTTTTAGCACGCTGTGTTAATGCGTGCGTTCTGTTAGAGCAAATAAAAACCGGACGAGGAGTTTCCGAGGAGGTCAGGAAATGGGCAATCCGTGAGAAATCCTGATTTCGTTAAAGGAGTAACTCACCCATAAATGAGCATTCTGTCATCATTTACTCACTCTCACGTCACTCCAAACCTGTATGACTTTCTTTCTTCAGTGCGACCCAGTGTTATTTTAGTATCATTAGCTATGATTACATCCATGAATTTTATCTGAATTTAAGGGGGGGAAAACACTGGAAGGAAATGCATAAATATTTCATAGGGCCTTAAAAAAGTAATTTTTGTTAAACTTTTAATAAATTGCTGTTGAATTGTGTAAATTTCATTATTTCAATTAATTATAAATGCTTTTTTAGTAATACAATTTTATTTAACCATTAAAACTGAGTTTAGAAAATGTAAATAGAAAAAAATGAATTTTGAAAAAACTAAAACGGAATTTGGGGAAAAAATTAAATGGATTTCATAGGGCCTTAATATTAGAACAACTAAATTATGACAGAAAATTAATATTTGGGTGAACAACCCCTTTAAATTCGCAACTTTGGATTGAAACATAGCTAATAAGATTATTAGTTCATTTGTATTAATATTTTGAATCTTTAAGTTTAAAGATAAAGTTTAAAGATATATTGTTGTGTTTTGTCATTTTTTATAAGTTTAAATAGATTTTATTTGAAGCAAGTAAATTGACTTGATTTTAGTTTCAGTTAACTGTATGAACTGATCAAATGTATACCCTGAAAGCAATGTAAGTTGCTTTGCATAAAAGCCAAACACATAAATGCAAAATGCGGTGTTGAAGCGGCTCTTTTCCAAACAATGTGCATGGTGACCAAGTGCTGTCAAGTGCCAAAAATGACAAAAAGCACCATCGCAAGCATCTATATGACTTGTGCATTACATTAAAAGTCTTCTGAAGTCATTCAATAGTTTTATGTGAGGAACAGAGTGAAACTAAAGTCATTATTCATGTACTCATGTTCATGTATATGTAATTGAGGCACCTCAAAACCATGTTTCATGTTAATGACATCAAATACAATCGACTGACACGTCTTTTCATTGGCTTCAGAGATAGCGGGACACATCTTGAAACATCATGTTTCAATGTACATGAATGCATCCCAGTCACTATTTACTTACATTGTATGGAATTAGAAGTGCATTCAAAAATGGCGCATCAAGACATGTCGCCGCAGGTTTAACATCAGACCTCATTGATTTTTGTCATTGATTTCATAATCAACATAAAAACATGTGCAATGCATCTTGAGGCATTATTTGAATACACATGTATCCCAGTCCCCATTCACTTTCACGGTCTGAGAAACAGCAGCCAGGACATTCTGTAAAACATCTCCTTTTGTGTCCTATAGATAAAAGAAAGGTTTGAAATAACACAAAGGTGAGCAATGACAGAACCTTCGTTTGTGGGTGAGTTAACTCCTTTAACTCCGTCTCACACATACACACATGCACGCCGTGACCTTCGCATGCAAACCGACAGCTGTGACAAAAGTGCACAACGGTCACCTTGAAGAGCACGCAGACCTTTGGAGCGTGACGAGGTAATTTCACCGCGTTAGACCAGAGGCCAGTTAACACCCTACCAGGCCATCTCCAAACCGCCGTTGCCATGGGAACCAGCCACTTAATGACTGATAACGGCAAACGACCAGGAAACGAGCAAAGATTGAGAGTGGGAGAGAGAAAGAGAGAGAGATATTACGTGGAACAAAGATGGCAATTTAGTATCGGAGGACAGCGTGAAGCCCGATTATGTCGTCAGCGCAAATGATCATTAATTTCCCTCTGTCCAAGCAGTGAAGATTAATGCCTAGTTCTTCCCACCGTAGCAATAGAGAGGGATCGTACCACTTAGAAACACCCCTATCTCATCTACAACCAGCATCCAGTGCTGTACGGAAAGAAATAAACAGCGGTGCTTGCGATTTCGCAATCGTAGGGGTGATTGTAAATGATGGTGCCTGGTAATATTAATGCGCCAAGCGCTATCTGCGTTTCAGCGCCGGCTGGGTCTTTATATTCAGTGTCAGAATGAATTGAAAGCCACTTAGGAAGGGCAGACATAAACTATTAAAACAAACTCATTTGGAGGTTTGACTGAAGATGTGGCCGGCGCTCATTTCTCTGAGCCGCTATCACAGAAACTCCCAGACGTCCACGGAGGGCATCATAACCCTGGGGTTCTTCTCAAATGCACTACCATTTCTGCTCGGGGAGATTTTTTACAGACTGCCATTTCGAGATATTCGCTCGCCTTCAAATGTGTAATCTAAAATGGCTTACCTGTGCCAGAAGTGCTTTTATGAAAGCTTTGATTTCTATCTTGCCTTGTGAGAGCTGTTGGAGGGTATTTTTGTGATTTTATGGCGCATTATGCCAAAAAAGCTGCCTATTCTGTTACGTCCAGAAAAAGGCATCTAGAAATCAGTCGCAGTCGTGAGAAATAAATAATATGGTAATCCCATGCATCATGGGAGTTCAGTTAACTGAAATAATTTTTACATTTTATGTGTGCTAATAGCCTTGAAATTAACCCGAGACTATACTGGGGTTTGTGTCAAGTGGCACTTCAATATTAAAAAAGCCATTTAAAACAGTAGTTTTTCAATTTTGTTCAAATGTGCACATCTATCCATGGCTAAATGTGGTATAAGTATTATATAACTTAAATATAAGTTACAAAGAGTCATTTTTATTACATTATCATAGTAAGAATGAGTTGTGGTTGATACTTTAAAGGGGAAATGCGTTTTTGATCAAGAAAACAACACAACAGATGGTTTAAAATAAAAGTAAAATTAGGCTCAATTTTACTTCTGCCAAAAAAAAAAGATTTCTTATATTATTCTGTTCATCTTTAGAGGAAATACTTTGTGACATTTATCATTTTGTAGTTGGAAGAAATATATCTAACTACAAAATTAGCTAGAAGCAAAATCATGCTCATCTAACAAGACATTTTATTAATTTATGGTAATATACATGCATGCAGGCAACGAACATATAAAATTATTCTAGATATAAAATATACTTTCTCCTCTCACCTATTGCATTAAAATATTGTGACATTTCAAAGAAGCTCACTAAGCAGGCAATGAATTTGGGTAATTTTGCTCTGCCAATGTGACTCAGTATTCACCTGGCCAAGCATGGCTGATTCTCTCACAGCCCTTTTTGCTGTTTATCAACCTCAAGCCTATAATTTCACTCCACTTTGATATTTAAAAAAAACACCCAATTACGAAGCGATTAAATTTGCTGAACACAAAAGCAGAGCTCTGATAAAAGGTGTAGAAACACAGGGTCATTAACTACAGAACCACTGACTGCTAAATACACGGATAAAAATGTGCTGCATCACTGTGACGAAAGAGTCATCAAGAAACAAATGAATGGGGCTCTTGGTCTTTTTTTATTGTTGTTTTTGTGTAACGAATTGGTCCACGGAAGGCGAGCTGAAGTGAGAACTCAAGTGCAGTTTATTTACATAAACACAAAACATAATCCAAAAGACTTGACTTGAATCGAACAGACTTGACTTGGCATAAACAGACTCACCGACAGCAGAATAACAACATCAAAGCTAGACAAGAGACAAGGGCAACAAGAGGGCTATATATACACCAAACAAAGAGGGTCACGTGACATAAACCAACCAATGGGAAACAAGGCACATGACTAGAACAACCAATCACAACATGACACATACACAAGGCAGAAATACATGAGGGCAAGGGAAGCATGACACTAACAGCATGAATCAAATTACAAATTAAGACACGAAAACAAGAACATGAAACAAAACCCAAACCAAACAAAACATATCCCCCCTCTAAGGGCGGCTCCAGATGCCCTAACATAATACCCAATCCAAACAAAACCCAAAAAGTCCAGAAGGGTGGTGGAGCGGAGGTGGAACTGGGGGAGGGACGGAGGGCCAGGCCCATGCAGGGGAACAGGATCAGAATCATGGCAAGGACCATGAAGCAGTGGGCAAGACCATGGGCTATGGAGCAGTGGTGGGCCTGGACCTTGGAGCAAGGGTAGGTCTAGAATGTGGAGCAGAGTTGGGCCTGGACCGTGAAGCACTGGAGGACCTGGGCCGTGGAGCAGAGGCAGACAGCGAAACACTGGAGGACCCGGGCCATGGAGCAGTGACAGACAATGGAGCAGAGAGGGACCTGGGCCGTGAAACAGTGGCAGACTGTGGAACACTGGAGGACCTGGGTCATGGAATAGAGGCAGACTGTGGATCAATGGAGGACCTGGGCCATGGATCAGATCCATAGGAGCATGGAGCCATGGCGGAGCAGGCAGAGCAGGGAGCCATGACGGAGCAGGCAGAGCAGGGAGGCCGGGTGGTGACAGCAGAGCAGGAAGCCATGGCTGAGCAGAGACATGGACAGACCACTTGTCTGTGACAGGACAGTCTGTGAGTTCGTGAACGGCAAGCTAGACAAGAGACAAGGGCAACAAGAGGGCTATATATACACCAAACAAAGAGGGTCATGTGACATAAACCAACCAATGGGAAACAAGGCACATGACTAGAACAACCAACATGAAACATGAAACACCAAACAAGAACATGAAACAAAACCCAAACCAAACGTTACATTTTTATATATACTCTCAGAGAACATTTCATTGAACGCAGAAATAGACTTTTTGACACGGTCTTTCAGTTTGTTGTTTTTAATGTCAATATCAGCTTCTTTTAATTAGCATGTTTTGGCCTTATTATGCACCATAGCTATTGAGTGGAAAAAAACATTATTTGTGGATCATTTTGGCAACGTTCACTCAAAAACTGAGGCGGCTAAGCTCAGATCAATCAGGCCTGTGTTCAAACAGTTCCAAAAAGAAATACAAACCCTGTGCTTATTTAAAGAAAACAAGTTCATAAAAATATTGAATCCAATATTTGGTGGTAATATAGCATAATGAGAGATTTACAAGCAATTTTTTGTAGATCGGTTATTTTTGACCAGAAACACCACAAAAAATGCTTATTTTTATTTATTTATTTTATTATTATAATTGTATTATTTTTAATTAAAATAATAGCAAACTCAGTAAGTTGAGTATGGGTCACCATACTTGGCCACATGCCACATCCTTTCCTTTTCTTTTCTTTTCCAAAAAACCGTTAACTACAATGGAAGTCTATGGGGACGATATTGCACTGGAAAAACATCAAAATACCTCTATATTTCAAAATACTATAAAAATTTAGCCACCAGATTTAAACTTTATATATGTTAACATGATAAAACCATTTACTAATGCTGTCTGTGCTAAGTTACATCCAATGTTTCACCTTTTACAATGGCCATGTAAAGCTGGTAATCCTGGTAACTTTACAGAAATATTAATGTTGGTTGGTGATGCATGTCTAGAAGCTCTTCCAACAGTAGTCTCACAGCTAAAAGATGGATTTAGGCAACTTTAAAGCTCAAATAACTTTAAAGCCTCCACGTCTTCCCCCATTGACTTCCATTATAAGTGCATTACTGTGAATGTAAGTTTTGCTTGCGTTTGCAAAATAAAGGACTAGTCCAAATGATTATCTGTGTGGTAATCAACATTATACCACAAACTCAAGTCCGTTTAAACTGGCAGTCAACCCTAAAAAGGATGCAGAAACCCGACACTATGGAGTGTGTCTGATCCGTTTAGACTCGAGGAAACTTTCTGCTGTTACAAATTCCACAAAAGCACTAAACTTAGCCTGTCTGGAAGAGGAACAGAGAGACAGAGATGGCAGTATGAACATGGCCGTAATGCAAAAGATACATCTCACATGTTAACGTTTTACAAAACAAACGTGCCTTTTCTCTCCTGTGTTTTCCCCTTTTCTGCTTTGTCTTTCAGTCACATTAGAAACGAACAAAGACTTTGAAAAGCTGCCAATTGAAAATCACGTTCCTTCTTTTGTGTCTTTCATTTCCATCACTATGATAATTGCGGCAGGACAAAGGACCTGACAGAGAGAGGCAGAATCAGAGAGAATTCACGCCGCCTTCCAGACAAAACCGCAAGGATTTCACCGCAGCTGCGAGACAGAGCAAGTGAAAGGAAAAAAAGACGAGCTCAGGAACGTAAAGAGAAGAGAGAAAAAGCTCTTAGAGGACATATAACCAGGAACTAGCACTGAAGGCAAAGCGCAAAAAATGTGCAACAAGCAATGATGACGATGAGCACTTACTGTAAATGAAGTATAGTCTCATACTGTACGTCTGCCACATGCTTAACACATTAACACATGCTGTTAAGTTTAATTTGTTCATTTTTATCACCCTTTCTGCATGAATGTAGTGGAAAATCTGAGGAGTGAACTGAAATATGGTATAATGTGTTACAAGTCTGTTTTCAGCTAACTGAAAAGCACTTCAAAGCTTCAAAATGACACCAATTTTGTGTTGCTCAAGCAATTAACTTGGTTTTATCATTCTTTATTTTTCATTCTTTGCCATGGAAATAATTATATAGATCCCCAAAATTATTTTTAATGACATGACATAAATGCAGGCTATATGTTTTACTTAATAGTTTTTGAAAAATAAATAAATAAAATAATTACATTATATAACAATAATAATAACAATAAATAATTTTAATATTGAATTTCTAAAAATAATTTATAAATATAAAATATAAAATTTATGTACTTCATCAAACACATCCACAGAAGCAAAAATTGCTGCATTTGGCAAAGTTATGGCATTATTTTAATGACAAATGTCGAGAGCGCATTATTGTAGTGCGAAAGCGCGCAGATTTCTTTTGCTCTTGCACAAAACCGGACGCACGCACGCTCAGATACACGCTGCTCTCGCACGGAAAGTGTGCGCTCACTTAAAACGTGTCTCTCCTCTCACTCAAACTGTTCTGTGCGCTCACAAATCTCTCTGTGCTCATGCTTTATAGATATTAATTATTTTCGCACCTGAATTAAACGTTGTCAAAAGTTATCATTATGCACTTTTAAAAAGCAGCCTAGTCTCAAAACAGATTTGTGCAGGGCCTTTCCTTGATTTTTTATTGTTGTATTTTGTTTTAACATAACTGGTTATTGTAGCTACTTTGTTTTACTATAACTATTTTATGTTTGTATTTTGATCTTTTCTGAGAATGCACATATGCATCTCTTTGTAAAGTAGGCTACTTTGTATACACTGTTTTAAAAGGTGCTATATAAATAAAGCTTTAACCAATCAGACCTCCACAACTG